ACGAAATTTTTTCGTCAAGATGTAATAGATCAATATTGAAATAGGTGAGCCGGGCACCTGAATCTTTGATTCAGGTCGGCTCACACAAAACGCGTTTACGCGTTTTGAGAGAGAGAAAAAAGAAAAAGAAAAAGAGAAAAAGAAAGAAAGAGAGAAGAGAGAAGAGAGAAGAGAAGAGAAAAAAATTGACGAATAATTTTGTTGTTTGTGTGGTAGGAGCGCACTTGTGAAACATGCAGCGCGACCCTCGTATCATCGATGCGAGTTGTCCCCCTCGAGAGGGACTCTAAGGGGGTGATATGTTTAAAATAAATATAAATAGATGAGTTTATCATAGGATGATTAAAAAAAAAATGAAGAGAATACTTGAAATTGATCCTGATATTCTTGAGAATGTTATTCGTGATTCAAATAAGCGAATAAAATTTATGAAAAATGTAAAAATATATAATGATTTGATAGGTGAAAAGAATTTATCTACAAGTGAAGATGAATCTAGTGAAAGTATATCAAGTGGAGATGTTTCAAGTGATAGTTCGAGTAATGATGAATTGGATGAAGATAATTTAAATGAGAGTGGATCGAATGAGGATGATAAATCTAATGGTGTTAAAACACGAGAGAAAAAACCTTATAATAATTTTGTTAGTATTAGATATAAAGATATTAGTGAATTAAATCCAGAATTGAGTAATCAAGATATTTTTAAACGTATTGCTGAAGAGTGAAAAGATAGTCCGATGAATCCTAGAAATAATAATTCTTAAATTTGAATGTAAAATTTTAAATTTTAAAATAAATATAAATAGGAGCGTTATTCAATTCTTAGTTGTAATGGAATCTAAACGAATTTATACGTTGATGAATTTATCGCTCTTATACTTTTTTCTTATTATTAATATCATAATTACATTGATTTTACTGTACATACTAAAAGTTGATATCTCACCAATCAAATATTTCATAAGGGATAGTCTACATCCGATTATTAGAGAGATTATATCACTTTTTTTTGAGAAATTGAAAAATTACGTCTCTATTGTGTGATCAAAACTGGCTAATTCAAAGAAAAATAAGGATTCGAGAGGTGAAAGTTCAAAAAAAAAAGATTTGAAAAAGGATTCAAAAAAAAGGAAAATTTTAAAGAAGATTAAATCAACAATAAAAAAAGATACGGATAATTTAGGTGAATTTGGTGTATTTCGTCCAACTTCCAGATTCTAATGCCTCCAGATCGTAGTGATAAGCATAAGTATATTGGTGGTTGCAAGTTGGGAGCATGTGGCTCAGATAGAAAATTATACAATGATTGTGGACAGTATAGAGGACCTGGTGCATCTATCTATGAGGAAAAACGAAATACTTCTAGTGATGGTTTTTGTTTATTGAATGGAAGATATGCATATATACCTATATATCAAGATGATGGATTTACTGGGATTGCATCGAATAAGAGATTGATTGATGCTACAATTGAGTGGCGATTGACTTCCTTTCATGGAAACCAAGGAAGTGTGATAAAAAATATTGATGGATCGGAGATTTCACTTGAACCACTATTATCAGAGATGTATTGGCGAATTATGTTTGTTCAGATATGTAGTGAAAATCTTGTGAGAAAACGATATCTATCACCAGAAGAAATATTTAAAGATGTTAGTGATCCCATGGGTGAATTACATGAAGGAATTAGAATTATGGGTGAAAATCTCGAGACACTTAAATTTCCATGTTCTTCATGCCCATTCCAAGAGCATTTACTAAGAATGTGTGTTAGATTCGAGAATAATAGTGTTTGTATCTTATCTTCTAAATCCGATGAGAATATAGTATTGGATCAGGGTATATTTGCATTTGTGGTATATCGGACGTATATGGTACCTGCTTTAGAAATTAGGAAAATGAAGTATTTAGAAAGTGATCCGAAAAGATATGATTTTGGGAATAGTTATAATCTTATGGAAGGTGGTACTGGTATATCAGTTTTTGTGAATAGGTTTAAGATTGAATACGCACATAAAGAATTATTGTCGAATAGTGTGAGTAATATGGTTGAGATGAAAAAAATGTTTGATAAATTAATGGATGAAGAGAAAGATGGTAAAGGGGTTGGTAGAAAAACTATAATTTTTGGTAATATATAAATATCACATGTATTCTTTTTTTTTTAAAAAAAATTCAATAAAATGAATTGTCGATATCTTAATGGTATACGAGAATCGAATTGTTTATCTAAAAGGGTTAGAAGAGGAAAGGTATTAGATGATAATGATCCGGATGAAGATGTTTTATTGTTAATGTTTCATATATTACGGGATCGAAATAAAAAATTTCAGAGTCGAGAGGGAGAAGATATAGATATGGATTTTGGTATAGGTGAGATAAATCAAGATTTGAACGTGGATAAATCTGAGGAGAATAATAGTATGGATCAGATAGTGGATATGAATTCTGATGACTTGAAGCATAATGAAGAATTCATTCAGGATGATTTAGTGAGTGATATTGATCAGGATGTGTTAGCAAAATTTGATAAAATAAATTATAATGGAGGATTGATTAAAGAGATTGAAAATCAAGAAGATCGGGAATTCGACAGAATCAAAAAAGGAATAGAAGATGAGATGGATATTTTCAATCTTGATACATATGGGATATGGGATCTCGATATCAAACAATCTAGTGTTTTAAGTGAAGATGAAAAGATACAACTTACTAGATTACGTGAATTTAACTTAGATGGATTACGTAAAGAGGAGATGAATGATATTTATGATAAAATGGTTTCGGATATATCAGAGGAAGGAAATATCAATAATTTAATGCCTGGAGGATTTTTCTCGAGAGAGATATCAAGAATTAATGAACATTTACTTTCTGGTGAACGAAATTTGATTTTATTGCAGGATGCGAGAATGAAGAGACTATGATATCTGCAATATGCTGATGATCAAGAATTTGGTGAAATTAAGAGTAATATAATGAATGAAAATAATATTAATAATCTTGATGTAAATGGGTTATGGGATCGTATTATTAAACAATCTAATGTTTTGAGTGAAGAAAAAAAGACACGACTTGTGGAGTTGCGTGAGGTAAAATTAAAGGAGTTGGAAAAGAAGAAGATGAGTGATATTTATGATAGGATAATTCAGGATATATTAAAGGAAGATGACATGTCAAGTTTAATATCCGGAGGATCATTCGAAAATGAAATATTGAAAATTAATGTAGATCAACTTTATGGTGAGAGAGATATAAAATTGTTGCAAGAAATAAGAATGAAGAGATTGAAAAAATTACAAGAACTGCAAGATATTCAAAAAGGAATAGTTAACGAACGGGAGTGGAATCTTCTGTCGAAAAATAATTTGTGGCATGAAAGAATTTCCGAATCTGATATTCTGGATGATGTTGATAAAAAAAAACTTAATGAGTTGAGATTGAGACAAATGAATGAATTAATTAATATTAGTATTGAAAAATTAAATGATGAGGATGTTACAACTAAAAATTTATTAGAATCAATTAGAACATCATATAGTATAGAGAATGTTAAGATATCAGAAGATAGGAAGAGCGAGATGAATGTTGAATCAGATTTCGCTACGGGTGAAGATTTGAGATCTACAATTTATGAAGAGAGATTACCCGATACTACAGAGTTTGTTGAATTATTACATAATAGGGAGGGTGATATGGATGTTGAATCAATTTCTGAGGGATTACCTGATGCTGCAAGGTTTGTCAAATTATTACAGGATAGGAGGAGCATTGAATCAATTTCCGAGGAAGAGTTATCTACTGTTACGAAATCGGATGAAATTCCCCAAGAATTAACCAGCACTACTACTACTACTATTACTGAAACTGAATCGAATGGACATATAATCTTTAGTGATGGATTATCTAGTACTGTAGAATTAAATGAACAACCTATTTCCAGAGGAGAATTAATTAATACTATGAAATTAGATGGAGATACATCCAAAGAATTGGTCACTTCTAGAAAGAGATCATTTGATATGGATGAATCTAATATGATTTCAAAAAAAGTTAAAATGACACGTTTGCAAAAGGATCCAGATTACAAGAAATTAAAGAAACATCCATTTGTAATTGGAAGAAAAAATGATAGTAATCTATGGAATCCATTCGAAGCACTTTTACCCCCAGGTGAAATTTTCGATTCGGTTAAGAATGTAGATCTGATAATAGATGAATATAAAAAATCTTTATTGGATCCTTCTTCTATATCTGAGGAAAATATTGAAAAGATTAGAAGAATAATTGGTGATCAGATGACACAGTTGGAAACAGATGAGCAAAAGTCTGAGTTTTTGGATAAAGTTACAAGGGTATTGATAAATGGTGAAGATTTAGATGATGATGATGATGATTTGAATAATATTTTTGATTTTGATTTCGATTATTAGATATTTTTGGTTTAAATAAAATCTATAAATAGACGTCGTGGTGATATTTTAAAATCAAGATGAGGTTCTCTTTTGTTATTATTTTTCTATTGTTTATTTTTTTGGTTGTTTGTGAATCTAAGAGATATCAAGTAAAAATTAGAACAAAAAATTGCAATCAATGTTTAAAACGACGTTATGAATATTAGATTACTTGCGATATTTTTTTTGTTCGTGTCTCATGTCATTACACAAGAAGATAATATACAAGGTCCACCCCCAGGATCCTATATAGTTCCTCAGAATCAACTATTACCGCCACAACCAAATGTTATTATACCGAATTCAGGCATGGGTCCACCCCCCGGATCTTTTATTGTCCCTCCAGGTCAGCCATTACCTCCACCTCCACGTATTGCCATTGTGTCTTCACATCAACCAGCTCAGGTTCAACCGATGAATGTTCAGCGTACTGTTGATCTTCCAAAACTCTATACAATAAATAAGAGAGGTCAATATGTTCCAATTTTAAATAAAAATGGCATGATCACAAGAAGATATAATGGTGGAATTTATTTGAATGGGATTAATGGAATTGAACCTGTGCATAAAGCCATGCAGCTAAATCATGTAACACGAAATCGAAATAGAGAGCCTCTACTACCACCAGATTATAATGGCCCCGTGGGATATCCTGGATTGATGACTTTAACTAAGAATAATCGGTACAAGTATATTTTAGTCAATCGTGATGGTAATCCAACTCAACGAAAATATCCCAATGGGATATTTGTGAGGGATGTCAATGGTAATTATATTGCAGTACATAAGCAAGCTCGACAGGTTCAACAGGTAAATCAGATTCAACGGGTAAATCAAGTAAGACGGAAACGAAATCAGAGGCAGGGATATGGGGGGATTAGGTGTGAGACAAAGACAGAATCAAGTGAGGGGGGCGCCCAAGACGAAGAATAAGACTTTCATAGAGATATAATTTATTAAATTCATGTGATTTTTATTAACATACAATATAATAAATATGATTCATATAATTTATTATTATAAATTTATGTTTATTGTTAATCCGAATAAGATTTTTAATTTTATTTTTGAGAATTCCGAGAGTGAAGTAAGGAGGAGGTCATTCATTGGTTGGTTATCCAGATACACCACGTGGAGGTTAATGACCAGGTATCCATAATAGGGAATGGTAAAGGATATTAATAATTGAAAAATTGGAAATGTAAAAATAAAAATTTCCAAGTAGAAAAAAACGGGAATAAGAATCCCGGACCTCTCATTTTATGAATTGTGTTTGAAATAAGTAAAAGTTACATCTCAGAGGTTGCCAATCTCATGAGAAGATTCATTTTACGAGTCGCGAAATGATAAACGCGAGAGGATTTTACGATCATCCACAAAACGTTTTCATCATATTTACTGCCCGAGAAATATTCTAAGAATTCAAACCAGGGCAGGATTCTGTCTTGATGTTCAATATCAGAAATCGTATCAATAGAATTCACGACAGTAGATAAATTCCAACTGATGATAACGAAATCTGCGACTGAAATTGTAGAACTTCAATGTACCAGTCTATTTATGCGTAGTGAAACTTTAACCACCATGAAGGTATTCACTCCCATATGGGCCAACACAGATAGATCCGTGAAGTACCTCGATGTTCGTGAAACATTTAATGAGGATTATGTCTCAATGTTCAATATCAGAGATCGTATCATCGGAATTCACGACAATAAATGAAATCCGATTGATGATGACAAAGTCTGCGACCGAAATTGTAGAACTTCAATATACCGGTCTCCTAATGCGTAGTGAAACTTTAACCACCATGAAGGTATTCACTCCCGTATGGGCCAACACAGATGGATCTGTGAAGTACCTTGAGGCTTATAGCACATCTAACGAGGGTTTTATGAATCTTTTGCAATGACCAGATTCAGCAAAGCGAGTCTAGACATCAATTGCAACTGCGTCTAATAAAGATTCAATCTCATAAATGAGAGATGCGTTTAATCCAATTGAAAAAAAAATCTTGATGACGACGTAGAATCAAATCCCCAGCTATCAATGAATGAGCCTTTGGGTGTCCGCCGATAGACCTTTAGGACGATTTTCATAAGAGCTCACTTCTAAGTTACTAGACGATTCTCATATGAACTTACTTCCATATTATGTCTCCCGAGTTGTATAGGGGTTAACGGATCTAGGCACTTATTATGCTCTACATGAGGCTGTAACTACAGGGTGGTAGATAGTGTCGCCGATATTTCAGGCATCCTTCATACCACTAGGACAAAGTCCATTGACCTGTTCATAAGGAGATCGATGAATGTCACTCCAGTTCGTGACGAGTTCGTTGTGGGTCACACCAGTTTGTGCCCGGATAACTAAAATCTTCAAGAGCGAATAAATGCGTTTTGATATGCGAATGAATAATTGTAAAATGAAACGTATACGACTTCGGCGACCCCAGATGATTTCTAAAAATAGAGAGGAAGTTGTGAATCTGTTTTGAGATAAAAAATTTCTTGAAATTCGAGAATTACATAAAACCAGTTAGCTCTGAATACCCCCTTTCTGAATAAATTACACACTCCACGTTGAAGAGGTCAGAGACTTACAAAGGAGTCAGGTGGGCCAGCGCAACTTGACATTTTATGTGATTCTTGAATTTCGATGATTGGAAAGAGATTTTGATACTTCACCAAATTTTTTATTTTCGATATTCGATTGGATACAAAAAAAATATCTCGCATTGAGAAGGTTGGCATGAAATAAAAATTGCGAGATAATAAAACGAGTCAAATAAACAAATTGCGCAAGTGAAGATACGCATTTTTGAAAAAAAATAAAAATAAAAATTTTGGAAAGAGGTGAAAAAAAAAGTGAAAAAACGGCGAGTGAATATATCCTAAAATTGATTTGCGTGTAGGTTGAGTTACACATGTACATCTGTTTGATGATCATGTATGGATGCGCATAGATGTGCATGGACGTGCATGGATGCGCGTGAATAGATCTTTTTTTTTTAATTGGTGTTTGATTGATGTAAAACCTTGATCTGCGTGTTAACCAATCGAAGGTATCAAAAAACGAGTTATAAAGAAGTGGCGTTTCAGATTTTTGACTTGAATGAATCAATTTTTAGGTACATGAATGATGAGAACGGTCATATACAAGTGTGAAAAGTGCCTTTCGAGATATTTTGAGATTTATGGTTAGGGCTGAGGGACTCGATCTTTGAAATCAATAGGATGTAGGTACGTTTCGTGAAACTTTCAAGTGATTATGCATGTAAGCGTTGTGAACATCTCATTTGTTTGAAATTAATAAGTTATTTGAGAATAAGAACTATTTTAACATTATTGAGATCAGGGCTGAGGGTCTCGATCTTTGATTTTAGATGTAAGTGCTATGAAATTTTCTATGGCTTCATTGTAAATATTTTGTTATTCATTTATATGGCTAATCTCATGTTGCGCGATTGGAGATAAGGTCATTTGAGAATTTTGTACATCTTGTATTTCAGAATAAGAGATTAAGAGTAAACAAGAATAGATAAGTGTTTTATTTAAAAGTGACATTTCGCTTCTCAGATTTTGAAACTAGACATTTTTCACTTCGATAGAAATTTTTGAACTAGTAACATATCAGAATCGGAAATATTTCAAATCATGGCTTCATTTATGCAAATACTTTCAATCTTTGCATGTTTATTCTTAATGTTCTCATTCTGTGAACTAAAATTCATAATTTATGTCATTTTCTTTGTAATCTCATATGATTACATGAAACTGTTAGACAACTTTGTAATTTTCTACATCTATATTGTGAGTTTTTTTTTTTTTTTATGTTTGATGTATTCGAAAAGTGTACTAATATAAGTTTATGAATGATAGGATACGAATAATGATGAACAGTAAGTGAAAAATCAATTAATATCCGTTTTCATTTTTATTATACGTGACTTAAAATGATGACATGTTATGAATTAAATAGTCATAAAATTCCATCCAGACAAATATATCTCGTTGTTGTAATAACAGCATATTTATATTTAAATATAACAAGTTCTTATATTGAATTTCAAAAATGGTATATTGAACTTGCGAATAATCCAAAGTTTCGTGTCTATTAACTCTTGAGGGTAAGTGTGTATCAATTATACTACTTGCGTGATCGTCGAGATGGGTGGTTAAAATGTTTGATACTAAATTTTTTTATTTTAGGAATTTGAGAGTAGATATCGTAAATTGAGTTTGATATAATTTATTAATTATTTTGTAAGTTCTTTACGGTGTATATGGATAGATAGATTAAGTTACATTAATAAAATTAGATCCATTCAAATTCTTTAAATGCGCGATATAATGCGCCTGTTTTGTTTACATCAATATTGCATATTTCTTGTGCTTGAATTAAGTTGAATTGATCTTTGTATTTGCGAGCAGTTGTTATGATTGTGTATAAATATTGAAAATATTTTTCGGGGTTAAACGTAATATGTTACATATTTGTTTTTCGCAAGGATGTAAATAATTATAAAGAGGGTAACCCGAGTGGTCTCTCATTTCTCCTCTCCAAGTTACTCAGATGTGAGGTGTCAAGATTGTTGAGTAGTCGAGTTCGAGTGATCGAACGGCTTGAACCAATTTTGGATAAGGGCGAGATTCATGAAAAATTTTTCTCAGGAATTCAGGATGACGCTTGTATTGATCGTAAATGTTTACTTGCAGAATGGCGCCATTGCGTGGTGTGGTATGTGGAAATCTCGACTTTCTTTTGAAAGTATTATTGGTATTCGTTGTTTGCGGATCTTTCACTTTTCCTTTGTGAGAATTGATTTCATGAGCCATTTCAGATTTTTTTAGAAAAATTTGTAGATGATGGGACGTATTTATATGGGAATTTTTAAAAAAATGATTTTTGATTGGTGTTAATGAAAAATCGATTTAAAAAATTGCCTTTACTTTATATAAATGTGTATAATTAATTCATTATTTAAAGATGGACCCCGTCGCTTCGTAATCGCATCTATAAATCTTTGAAAGAGAAGTTTGAGATAATGTTCAATCAATATTATTTTATCGTTATTATTATCTTAATTGGTATTTTTATTTTGGGTGATATCCCAGATTATGATCAAAATTGCGAATATAAACAATTATCCCATTTCAAATATTTATTAAAAACATGGACGTGGATCTTTATTAAACTTACATTTCTATTGATAATTTTACGCATGATTATTGAATTTCACGAATGGTGCTTTATGATAAGAAACTTTCCTGAACAATTTATCCGATAATTATATCATCTTCCAATATGGTAGAAAGTCAATGTGTTAATACCTCCCAATCATTGAATGTATAAAGATAAATAAGAAAAGGGAGATCTAGTTTATCAAGACATCGGATTGAGAGGATTTAATTTTAAATAAAAGATTCAATCAAAATTGGAAAATTGATGAGTTGGATAAAAAGATGCGAAATTTAATAGAAGATTCAATCGGGGTAAATAGATTATTTTTCAATGATATTTTTGAAATATGGAATTCGAAAGGTAAATCGTAAATAAGTTGTATAAATTTGATTGGTGATATTTATCAATGTAATTTTTATTTTTATTATGTATTTTATTATTTTATCTATATATTCACTTGTATCTAGTAGAATTATTGATGGGAGCATGAAGATGGAAGAAATGAATAATACGTATGCTTTAAAATTATGATATTCTTTACCTTGAGGTTTAAATGGCGGTAATGGAATGAGTTTATCGGAGTCAAAATCTTTATATTTTAATATATAAATTTCCAAAATGATATACGTAAACGTGAAAATACAACTTTTAAACTTATATGTCATTTATATGCATTTCCTGTTTCTTTAAGTGTGTGTGTGACATGTGTAATTTCTTACACGTGTTTATTTGTGAAATATGAAAATGGATTTACGAGGTGATATAAAAGATGGAATTTTTACATTTTAATAAAATTTTATTGAGAAACAAACACATGATAATTATTGATGCATTACCACATGTACAACTACTTGAAAATAATAAAAGAAGCATCAATAATCGATAAAAAAATCTTTGAATATGTGAAAGTAAAACCTTAATATTTGAATAAAATGACTCATCGAAAAAATAAGGGAAGGTAAATTTGAAATTATTTGACCATAAAATGCTTTCACCTATTGCTAAGGGAAATTATCTTGAAAAAAAAGTTCATGAAGAACTTCAGCAAATAAATGTTGAATCGAGAAAAGTTGGAAGAAGAGGGGATAACGGAATAGATCTCGAAGGAAGAATAATAGGAAGGTCCTTTATAATACAAGTTAAAAATTGGACAACCGTAAAAATCGGTAAGCTGACCACTTATTAAGTTTGTTGAGTTATTATATAGTCTAAGTTACGCTGCCACACATAGAACCCCAGATATGTGAACCTGTAAGTCAGCATGGGGGTCGTGAGGTGGACTGGGTTTTTATGATGAATACGACTATATGAAAAGCTAAATTGAAAGCACATCGAGGCCACAATAAAATATAATTTATTGTGAACGTTCTTTAGTAGATCTTGATGACGATGACACAAACTTACTTGTATTTTGAATGATAGGATCGAATGTTATCCGAGAATTCGAAGGAACGCTAGGAAGAAAACCACCGGGAACTATAGGGATAATCATTGCTCCGACACGAAATTGGTATA